AATATGAAGTAGTTATAGGAGGTGAGAGTAGGAAAACAGAAGGAGAGATGAAAGCCAAAACAAAGGCAACAAAATATAAATTCAGTTATTATAAAAGTCAAAGGAAAAGCTGTGAGCTACAGAGGAAGAAAAGACAGAAGAAAAGACGAAAGACTTAAGAGGTCAATCACAAAACTGTCTCATTCATTTGTGGTCTAAACGTAAAGGTAAAACTCAACAATTGTTACATTATTACCACAAATTTTTATAATAAGTTACTAACATGACCGAAAATCATTTTAAAGTTTCTAAAGGCTAGCATACTGACAGTGTTTTGTTTTTTTCCTGATGCAAACAGGACTTTCAAGGAGACTATTGACTAAAGTACAATGGGTCCAGAGACAAAGAATTGCAGTTACCTTACTTAAAGGAAGTTTTTGGCTATTTTATAAACAAATACAACAGAAACTAGAAAGTCTACTTTGCTATTTTGGTATTTTGCTTTGGTAGAATCCCAAAACATCTTTGGTGGACATATTTTTTTTTTTTCTAAATGAAGGAAACCCCTTTGCCACAACAGCATAACAGAATAACTAAGGTAACTAATTCACTAGTCAGAACAGAATATAAGAATTGGCACCATCCACAACACACAAACCTATGCCAAATATGGTTACCCACTACTTCCAGTAGTTATCAGTTTACCCTGAAACCTACATACAGCCCCTCATTTTCTAAATCAAAGTACTGCAGAACCACACTGGTTAGTGTCATGTCTTACTTTTTACCTTGCTCGTTTACAAATTCCTGTCACAGAGATCAAGATGGTTGCTGCCATATGCCACATCTTTCGGTTAGTGGTTGTGGTGTCATAACAGCTCAGGAACAACAGTTAACTGTTGATTTATATCAATAAATTGCAGATTATTAGTTTAATTCACTACTTCTTTTGCCCATGCCTAAATATGTACTTATTTATTCAAGCACAGCACTAACATTAAGTGGCATACAGCTGGGAAACATTGAGCATTTTCTCACCATCTTAACTAAAGCCAATCAAGTGATGCTGTGTACATAAGAACTCCAATGTACTCTTCTGTAGGAGTTGGTGTTGAAACCCAGATAATTTTGACATGATTTTAAGAAGGCTGTTGCAATAAAACCAACAAGAAATTCTCAAAATGCTGCTAACAGTATTTTTATAGGTCCAGGCAGAAAGCACTACTGTCAGCCACAATTCACTTTGTTTACCGTC